TTGTTACTACTAGTAAGGCACTTGTTACTAGTAGCGATGCACTTGTTTCTAGTTTCACAATAGTATCTCAATCTTGCGAAACCATACCGAAACCGCAAATCCACGCACACGGATCGGATGCCTCTTCAACAGAGGCCATGTCCTCACCCTTGCCGATCATTTGGAAGAGGTCAATGGCCTTGCCACCCAGCTGCTCAATGCCCTGGCGAAGCTTCATGGCCACTTCCAGGCGCACTTCCTCCACCTCCGACAGTTTTCGTCGTTTTGCTTCTTGTTCTCCAAACAGACCAATTTGTGCTTTCTAGTAGCAAACATTGTTCCTAGTAGTACGGCCAGGAGCCCCTAGTAGCGTTCTTGCTCCTAGTAGCGATGCCCTTTGCTCCTAGTGCTTTCTCCTTCACTAAATCTCACAAATTCTTCGAAAAAAAGCAAACAGACCAATTCCTCGGCCTTGTGTGCCAAAATTTTTGCTGTGACCTTCCGACCCTCCGAGGCCCTCTTTTCGGAGAGAACCAGCCGTGCTTCGAGCTTCGAAAGACGTCTTGCAAGCTTGGTCAACTTCTCCTTCAGTTTGGTCAGCGGGTTGGCCAACTTTTCCTTCTCTTTCTCCTCTTTCTTTTCTTTCTCTTTTTCATCTTTCTCTTTTTCGTCTTTAGATTCTTCTCCTTTTTTTTCGTTCTCCGGATTCTCTCCCTTCTCTTTCTGTTCTTTTTTCTCTTCAGTCGAAGGAGCTTCTTCCTGCTTCATCTTCGAGTCTTCCTTCGAAGCATTTTCTGTCTTCGTTTTCTCGTGCATGGAGAGCTCGGTGGCTTGATGTCGCAGTTGTCTCAGTTGAAAGAGGCAAACGCTGATTGCTGTTCGAGCAGCCGACAACGCACCGTCAAAGGCAGCCTCGAAGCGTTGAAGCTCCTCTTGTCCAACATCAGAAGAAGCAGCTTTCACAAAACTGGCAGATGTTGATTCCACGTCTGCTATCTTTGTGTCAAGATCCTTCCAGGAAGCTATTCCATTCCAAATGGCTTCTACTTCTGAAGCAATAGCATTCTGGCGCTGCTTCAGATTGTTTTGGTATTCGGCCTCAACTTGATCCTTTTGCTTCTTTGTTTCCTCGTCTTCAGTGCTTTTTGCTGCCTTGGCCCGAGCTTCAAAGCGAGCAATGCCAACAGCTGTCCGAAGCTGCTGAAATCGAGTTGGCTCCAGGCCACTGGCGGCAGAGCCAGCAAAAGGTGCAAAGTGAGTGAAAATTCTTTCAAGATTTGCCTTTGGAATGGCAAAACCATACTCCAACTTGCTGAAGTTTGTGACTTCGCTGCGCGAGAGCATGCCATCTTCATCCTGATCGTATCGACGAAAGATCTCACCGTTCTTCTTGTCCCAAATGCTTGGTGCAGCGGAATTGCAAATCCGCTCCTTGGTTTCAGAGGCCAACTTAACAGCCTGTGATGCGGCCATCTGAGCATGTTGCATCCGTTGCTCAGACCGTTGGACAAATTGAGCGACTTCGTGTCGCAGATTTTCATGTTCAAAAATCTGCATACGATGTTCATCCAAGAACTTCCAGCAAGCCTCACAGGCTTTTTGTGCAACTTGACCCAAACGAGACGCGGTCTTCCCTGTCCGCAGGGCCTCTTCAGCACGTGCCGGGAAGGAGGCAGCCAAGGATTCTCTAGGTGCCGAATTGGCCGAATTGGCCGAATTCACTAACTGATAAAGCTGCTCCGTAACACTTCGAGCCTTCTGAGCCTCTTCTTCAGCTTTCACCAACAGCTTTTCCACCTCTGCCACAGTTTGCCTGATTTGCTGCTCCTTCACTTTCAGCTCTTCTTGGCGGATCCTCTCTCGCTCCTGTTCTTCCTTCTGCTTCTGCTCCATTTGCTTCACGTATTGTTCGGCATATCCGAAGACACGATCAGCTTCAGCCTGCAACTGCTCGCGCTGATCTCCTGTCTCAGGCAACTCCGTGCGAATCACCTCTTGAAATTCAGCACTCATCTGAGCCCAGTTTTGAGGAGTTGCATCTTGAAGCTTTTGCAGGGCCTTTAGGACCTAAGGAAATAGCATAATCAAATAAAAACATAATATAGACATAGCATGAAACTTCAGTTAAACTGTTTGAATTATGAACAGTAGCATGAATAAAACAACAAAACTGATTTACTTGTCTGACTTGTCTCAATCAATTGCTGTGTTTGCTAATGCTTGCTAGAGGCATTCAGATTGGCAGCCTGTTGTCTTTTGGCCTTTGCTTCTTGTTCCAATCTGACTCTTTCTTCCTCCTCCTTCCTTTTCATCTCCTCTTCATGAGCTTTCTTTGCCTTCGCGATGGTCTCCTCTGCGTCAGCCAAAACACGAGTGGCTTCTCCACGAAGCTCGGATTCCTTTGCACCTGTGTATGGTAGCTCAGATGCCATGATCCTTTCGAAGTCGGACTTCAGGCTCTCGAAATTACTCAAATTGATTCCCTTCATTCGGTTAAAGCAGCTAACAACATTCTGCACTGCTCTCTGCTCTTTCTCTTTCGCACGAGCATGTTCCCGCTCTTCTCGTTCCTTCTCTCGTTCCTTCTCGTCCTCCTCCCTTCGCCGGTCACGGTCACGGCCGTCCCGGCCGTCCCGGCCGTCCCGGCCATCGCGGTGGGCATCTCGACCAGCCGAGCGCCCATCTCGACCCATGGACCGTCCATCGTCGTCATCACCCGTTTCACGCCTCGGTCACACGGACATCTTCATAGCACTTGTTTCTAGTAGTTTCTTGTTACTACTAGTAGCGATGCACTTGTTCCTAGTAGCGATGCACTTGTTTCTAGTAGTTTCTTGTTACTACTAGTAGCGATGCACTTGTTCCTAGTAGCGATGCACTTGTTCCTAGTAGCTTCTTGTTACTAGTAGTAAGG